ATGGTAAAGACATCACATTTATTAAATGAAAAAAAGTGTTTTTGAAGCAGATGCTTTCCCAGATTGTTTATAAAAAAATGAAGAGTATAGGGCCTAGAACAAAGTCCACAGTTTGCCTCTCAAAAGTTCTTGGTTGAAATTGACACAAAGATTTAACAAAGATTTGCTGAGTAATACAACTGTTTATTTAACCAGATATAGATTTATGTAATAGCAGAAGAAACTACAATATATTTCATCATAATGTTGAAATGAAGAAAAACTATGCCCCTCAAGTTGATATGTTGATCTACTGGAGCAAAGATTTTATTTAAAAAGAAGAATATACTATTTGTCAATATTTGTCCATATTCTCCACTGTATGTTTGTCACCACCAGCTGGATTTGTAACTGGCTGACCAATTGCACTCAACACATAGTTCTCAATGGAACTACATCTACATGGAGTGAAGCATGCAGTGAGGTATCCCACATTTTTCTATCTTACCATGAAGTAGGCTATAATCTGCTTTGTCAAATGCTAAAGTAAGTAAATACAATTATGATATATTTATTAATTATGTTTAATGAATTACAGAATATGAAATGAACTATAAGAATGGTTGTAATTAGATTAATATCAGTTTTTATGATAAATCGAATAAATTAATGTTTCTTGTTGAAAGTAAAAATATATCTGAGGTAACTGAAGGGAAAAGTACCATGCGGAATCTGATTGAAAAGGTATATATGTTATGTAGTTGTTAAGAGATGATTGTTATAAATTTTTAAGGGGAATACTTAAAAGTTGAATGCTTAATGGGATTTGAAAGGGAATTAATTATAAGCTATAGGGGTGGCATACTGTAATTGGCAATTATGGGGGAAATCTTTGTTCTGAAATGTTTGAACTGAGGTAGAATTTTTGAAATAATGAAATATAAATATCCAACAAAATTGTAAACCTGACAGATAAAAGTATAAATATAATGAATATGAAGATATGAGAATTATTTAAAAATAAAGAAGATAGGTTAAGAAATGTATGGAAAATTTATAAAATAAGCCTGAGAGAAATATTTGAGAAAAATAATAGAGAATACTTAAAGTAATGGTAAGATATGAAATTAAATATAAAATATGAATATGTAATTAAAGCTATGTCTGTATGGAGAGGTGAAAACCTGAATCATGCTATTCACTGAAAAAAGATGTTCTTGTTTTTGTCTTTTGTTTTAAATGTAGAAAATTGAAATCAAATATTATTATTTTTAAAAAGAATGCAATAATGTTTGTCTGGCATGGTCTATTTTGGACAAACCCATAGTATAGGCTTCTAGTGTAGCTTTGCTTGCTTCTAGGTGTTTGCAGATCTGTTGCCTCTCCAGGATTTTCCCAGGTATTGATGTCAAAAAAAATGTAAAGAAAGAATTAAGCAGTTCTACTTTCTTTCTACTACCCATCACCTCATTGCCATCTTCTCTCATTAGTGGACTATTGTTTCCATGACTTTTTCTTGTTTTTTATACATTGAAAGAATAATAATCTTTCTCCTCCTCCTCCTCCTCCTCCCCCCCCCTCTTCCTCCTCCTCCTCCTCCTCCTCCTCCTCCTCCTAGTATTCCTGAAATGGTCTTTGCAGATTCAGGCTATTTGCTAAATCTGCTATAGTAATGTGTCCCTCTTTCCATTTTTTATACTTATTCTTTTTGTTTCTCAATTTATCAGAGAGCTCTTTATGGAATCATGCTGGTCTTCAGTCTCTTATTTTTTTCTTTTTCAGTGGTATTGTGTTAGATTGGGCTTTTATAATTTCATTTTTCGGAGTTTCCCAAGATTATTGAATTGTTTTCACCTTTAAGATTTCCATCCATGAAATCCTTCTTAAGCTCTAAATTTGTGGAAATTAGCTCTTTTAAAGTCTAAGACACTCATTTATTACTTCTATCTGTATTATGTTGACTTCCAATATGACATGGTCACTTTCCCCCAAAGTTCCTGCAACTTCAATCCCCTCTATCATTTCAACCCTTAAGTCCAGTATAGCTAACCCTCTGCTTTCCTTCTCTACCATTTGAATGACAAAGTTGTCTGCTAGGTTTGTCAAGAACCCACTTGATGTAGAGTTTGTCTCCCAGTTGATGCCCAGGTAGTTTAAGTCCCCTGCTATTAGTGTAGTGTGCTTCCTGCTCATCTTAGCTAATTAATTCATCTATTTTCTCTGTTTCCTTGGGTGGTTTGTAGTATACATTTATGGTAATTTCATTCCTTTTTCCTTTTATATTAATTCAAGGAGAATTAAAATGCAATTCAAAATTCAGAATGCATTCAAGGACAAGGAGGAAAAGGAGAAAAAAATAAAGAATGTAACCTTTTGAATGTGAATCTGTGTATGTGAAAATGGGTGTTGACATATTAATTTTATTTAAAGACACTTTAATCATCCAATTGAAAAGTTCATAATTTGAAAGAGAGGAATGGTGAGCATTTGCTCAGTGATCGATTTTAATTTAAAATGCATTGAGTAATCTTCAAAGCTTAAGCTAGGATTGCATTAAAACAGACATAATTGCATGTATTATATTCTGTGTATCATACACCTTGGGAATTTAACCCATTTAAGTATGACTTCCTTTTTATCAGCACTTATTCATGCAAACTGACTCAAATTCTGATGATTTTAATTTGCATATTTACTAGTGCAAAAGCTTTCTGAAATGCTATAGCCCATAATTTATTGTTAGCGGACTGTCATTGAATCCAGCAGGGTTGAATTAAACCAACTGCAGTGTAACAGCTAAATTTACAATCAGCTTGGTAAAACTGGAAGTAGGGTTTATCTCAACAGAAACTGTCTCAGCTCTTTTTAAAATCTCCTTACAATTATTTTCTCAGTGCAATTGGGGTAGCTGAGAATCTTTCAAGATAATTGACTGTGAGATACGTCTTCATTGGTATCACACTGAGGGCAAAAATCTCTTATTAATCAAAGACACAGGTATCATGGAAACTAGATTTGTTTGTCCAGGCTATTGATATATTGTTTATATAGAAATGTTAAATCAAGGTCAGTTTCCTGTGATATTTGATGTTTGGATGTTCAGGTTGTGTTCTGTGTGAAGAGAACTATGTTAGTTCATCAGAGAGTTATACTGTAAGATGTAGTTGCATTGGGGCAATCTTTACGGTGCCATAGACCCAATCCCAACATAGAGGATATGTTAAAGAACAAGGGTTAATATACTTCCCTAACTATGTTCCCTCCCTTCTAAACATTACTAGAAATGGGAAAAGATCTATTAATCAGCCTCTTTAATACATAATGAGCATGGCCTGGGATGCCCTTTGAAATAAATGTTGGTGCAGGTTTATTTAAAGGTAGCCAAACTATATGCTCATAACAAGTGACTTGCTGAGGATTAATGTTGGTGTGAAGTAGCACTAAAACCCCAATCCCCCAGCTGTTGGGTTGATACCTTTGAATGCACCAGGTAAAACATCTGTAATGGGCTATTTTTGGATTCAAATGCCAGTTCTCTTCCCAGCCCAAACAGCTTACAAGTACAGTGTTAGGTGCATCTCTTTCTTTTCCAACTTCACACTGCAACAGACCTTCATTCTCCCTCACCTACTGTTTCTGACAGGCAATTGCTGATTAAGGTCATTAAAATGGAGATCATCTCAGAAACCAGATGTGTATGGAGGACATGTTGGTTTTAAAGAGCTGAATTCCCCTATTGATGGAAGCAGAATGGCCCTGCAAAGCAACTCTTGGGGGCAGAATAGGAGAAGGTCTGTCTACTCTCATCTGAAGTACCCTATTAACTTGATCCCAACTCTTAGAGATCAGTTGACTTTCCTTTGTTGTTGTTGTTTTTTTGCTTAGTGAGCTTTGCTAGTTTAGTAGCTCTGTGTTCCTTAGCTATCAGCTTCCTCTGCTTGTAGGAGCAGTAATCTAGGGCTAGGATTTCAAAATGATTTCTCATACTCAGAGTAGAAGAGCTTCCAGGCAGTAGATAACTATGCATTTTTAGCTGCTTTGTCATGGCTTCTGGTGAGCTGGGGAGTTGGAAGCATTGGGCTGTCATGAGTTATCTTTTCCCCTTCAAAGGGGAAACCCTTCCGTGTGGCATGTTTCTCCTCTCCTCAAATACTTTAGCCACACGAGGATTGAATGAACAAATTCTTTCTAACACTCAAATTATAACAGCCAACTCATAAGGGATGAGTCCAGAACTACATCCCCATTTAATGTTGGCATCCACTAAAAGGTTATGAAGCATATTATGGCAAAGCTGCCACTGTATCTTGGCTCTTAAAGGGGAAAATGCTGTTTTAACATTGGACCGCTAAATTGACCTTCATTCTCAGTTATAGTTTGAGGCCTAACTGACCACAGCCAGCTACCACAATGCAAATGTGCAATTACATTATAACACAACTCTTCCCCATCTCCTTTTGTGCATGTGTCCTAATGTTGGATGTAGATATATGCGTCCTTGCGTTGTGATCTCTTGCTGTCTCTCGTCCTCCATAGACACCTATGGATTAAGACATGCCACGTGGCAGAAAACAGGATTCTGAGATTTATTTGTGGACCGAGGCTTTAAATCTCCCTGGAAAAGAACAGGAATGCTTGGTTGCTTTCCCCCCCTTTTCTTTTCACTTTGATGGTGAAGAAAAACAAAATCTCTTTCCTTCCCTCTTGCAGGTGTAGGGCTTGGTTCTTTGGGAGAGCCAAAGGAGGGCGGAGGCTTTCTTGGAAAGGGCTACCGTCTTCCCCACGGGAAAGTTGCAGTGGGTTGTTAAAAGAGACCGAAGTCAGGGAAAAGAGCCAGCCGGTGGCACATGTGACGGGGTGTTTTTTGTTTGCCAGCTGAAAGAGGCGGGAGCGTGGGCGAGGCCGGCGGTCTGAGCGAACGGGGCTGCAGCCTCCCTCAGTCTTTATTAGTTGGGTGAGCAGGAAGCGTGGGAAGGAGTTGTCTCCGCGGCGATCTGGAGGGTGACGGCGATGCCCGGAGAGCAAGGCAGGAGCGCGACCGCTGGCGGGACCCCAGAACCTGAGGTAAAAAAGAGCTTCCTCGCGTTGTCCTCCAAGCTCCGCAGTCCCAAACTTTCAGGGGAAAAGGAAGGTGAGGTTCGGCTTTGGAGAAGAAAGCGGACGCCTTCGTCGTCCTGGTGCGGGGAAGACTTAGGAATAACTGTGCAGTTCTGCGTAGCTCTTGCGGACTCTCCAGTTTAGCCCGTCCAAGGCTTCGTAAGATCATCAAGCAGTGGCTGTGACGGTACAATATCAAACGTGGCTGCGTTACTGTTAAAATCAGTGCGGTGGAAAGGGCTCGCATGATTTTAGTCTCCGGCTGGCTCTTTGAATCCCGCCTGTAAGTGTGCATTATTTTGTTTTTACCTTCTTCAGACTTGGATGATTGGGTGACTAAAGGGACAACTGCCCCTACCTGGTCAGACTCTTGAGGGTATAAGAGGATCCAATATTAAGGCTAGGTAGGTTCAAATCAAATTGGCTGAATCAAGACTGTAATCCAATTCTGCTTGCTAAGAAAAGAATCCCACTGAATTTAATAGAATTGGCTTCTGTGCAGGAATACACAGTGGAGGAATACAGAACAATATTAATTATCTTATAGAAGAGAATCTCATTTTCTCCTGTCTCCATCCAAACGTCTTATAGTCTACTTTATTTCTCAGAGTTCACAGTTACTTATTCTTCAGTTGCCTACTATATTTCCTTTCTGTTTTTCTTTTGCAGACCTGTTTCTTTATTTCCTAGATTTTTTAAAAATTTTGATCCCTTTACTATCATTATTCTACCACTTAGCTTGCTAGACTAACTGATTATCGTTCGCTCAATAGCTCCTCACTTTGTCATATCACATTAATTTTTTAAAAAAAAATGTGATAGACTTCTACAATAATGGCTGATTGATCGATTATATGCTATCAAATTGATGGCAATTGATGGTGTTGATTCTTAAGGACTATATAGAGTCTAGACTAGACCTTCATTATGCAGACTAATGAATCCTGAAATCTTTCACTCTTTGGCAATGTTTACTGTCACTTCAAAAGTACCTCATTGATGTATTCCCAACAGTGATTTCCATTTTTACCCATTCCAGCAATTTAGAATAGGTTCCAATTTTGTTCATGCAGTCATTGTTATCCATGTCTGTCCATCTTACATTGTAATTATTGATCACTTCATACTACCTATTTTTACCATCCAAATAAGTGTTTTCTGGGATTTGGACTAGTTGCTACAATATTACTGAACTATATGAAACAAGTCTGTTCAAGAGCATGCTGTAGCTCACATATATGGATAACTGTGGTCATTTTTACCCCAAAGATGCTTATCAACTTAAATAGTATGCTTAAACGTGCTGTTCTGTGCATTAGTTTTTGCAATAGTATGAAATTTGCTGAGATAATGCTTGACATTTTAATTAGGTCGCATACAGCTTTGAATTCAAATTAAAAATTGAATTTACATTTAAAATTAGCCATTTATACAGAATACTTTTAATTTTTTAAAGTTTTATATTCAAACAGAAGCAAAACTGGAATAGCTTATGAAAATGCATACTTATATATGTTGCTTTTCCTCTATTTACGTAATGTACTTTTCATCTGTTTACATTATCTCCTACTGGCTTAGTATTAGTTACAGGAATATTTATTTATCAGACAACTTAGACTATAGTATATTGATGCTCAGTTTTATATCACCATGTCTGGTGTAATGCCAAAATATTATTTTTTATTTCAAGTGTATTTGTATAGAATTCGTCCTCCATTGAATAGTCTTTATTTTAAAATTATGACTCTTGATTTTTGAAATATTTGGCATGGCTGTACAGGTAACCAAATTTTACAAAGTTTACTAAGATCACGTTTTTATGCTGAGCTTTTACTAGCATAAGGCTATACAGAAGCTATAACTTTGTTTTCTAAGAAATAAAAAAGGGAGAATCAAATAGTGTATATGAGATGATAAATGAAGGACTGGTTGAGTGAAATGACCCAGCCAACTCATGCAGAGACTTTTCTTGGTCATTAAATGCTATTTGGGACAAAGAATGACAGTAAAAGAAAAATCAACGTAAGCACTTAAATGGGAGAAAAATGTGCTGGTGTGTGATTTCCCCTTCCCTGTTTATATTTAAATTCATATTTCTTCTGTAAAAAAGTTTCAGTTGGCTTCAGATTCATATGGTAGAATGTTTTGGATACTGAATAAAATCCACTGAACAGAATTCCAAATTCCTAACAAATGTAGAATATGATGTTCATTTCTCCTATAATTTGGAGATTTGAAAAAACTATATTATTCAGTATTTCCTCAATTACCTGAAATAAGCTGAGTTTTTAGTTTGATCTATTGTGTTTCTGCTCTATATTCTCAGTTTGTTTTCCTGATGCCATGTGCTATAGTAAAGAGTACATGAACATTGTGGTAAATGTATATGTGGTATGTAGTATAACAGAAAAATAATATGTGCTGAATTTACTATCTATGCATTAAATATGGTAAAATCTAACAGTAATATTGCATTGATGGAAGGAATATTATGTCAGATCTTGAACAGCAGCATCTGGAGGCTGCATAATACGTAGAATATCCTTACTTCAAGAAAAATAGCAGGCATTGAAGTTGTTTTGCCAATTTTTCTGTTGCTTTCCTAAGTGCAGTTAAATATCATAACTCTTCCTTTGCATATACCTAAATATAGACTGTAGACTCCTACAGGCATTTCATCTTTACCTCAAGTTCTAAGTTACACTTATTTCCAGGACAAGAAACAATATAATTAATGTAGGAGACTGGTTCACATTTTTTGTGAAGCAAATTGATCAGTCAGTTTAATCAGTGGTTATTTACTCTCCTACTACTTACAATTTCTTCTTGTTACATGTGTGACAACTTGAGCAAAATAATGGACCAGTGAAATCTGGAGATATGCACCAGGGTGCTGGGCATAGAAAACACTACTTTATTCTACTGTTCAGGAAGAATAGACCAAACTGAGAGTATAAAGCAATATATTCAGTTCATTGCCCCCAGTTGAATACTAATTATCTGAGATACTTCTGTGCTCATCTATTAGCCAGGAAGGGCAAGTTTATATCACCTATTGGTTCTCTGAGTGCTGCAGACCTCAATAGAAGAAAACGTGTTATTTTCCAGAACATTCTGTGGAAAGATTGAGGAAAAGAGTCTTCTCACACTTTACTCTGTTTTACTTGATTAACTCTTAAATTTGGGCAATGGAAAGGCTATCTTCTGTAAGGGTTCCTAAGATTGAAGGTAAATAGAATCATTTTATTAGTCTTTGTCTTATACCAATTGTTAGGCAAAATAAATCATTATTACTATTAAAACTAAACTTATTTTCTTACAAATAAAGCTGATATCTTTAGTCACCTGATTATTCATTGCACTGTCTGTTTGTCTGTCTGTCTGTGTCTCTATCTATCTATCTATCTATCTATCTATCTATCTATCTATCTATCTATCTATCTATCTATCTATCTATCTATCTCCTGTGTTATTGCCAACGATGTATGTGAGTGAAAATTGATTTGTGAGACTATAGCAAAGATAAAATGGAAAAAGCTGAAAAAAAAACTTTAGACAATCAAATTCCAGAACATGAAAAAAATGCATGAATGCATATAACATGCTCTTAGTTATATAATTTAAAAAAGAAAGCTGTATCAGATAATGGATATGTGTTTTGGAACAAATGTTCTTGAATATTGATAATTTAATATCCCATTAGTATTTATGCTAACATTTAAGTATTTCAAATTTTAAATATTCCCCTTTCTCCTTTTTCCCTACTTTGTACTAACTTAGTTGATCTATTGTAGTATCATTTTTATAATTTGTTAATTGTATTCTCATGTACAGGTGTTTATGCATGTTCATCTACATTATGCTTATCTTTGTATCACAAGCACGTAAGATTAAATGTATAATATTATTTATTTTATTTACACAGGTTTTTTTTTACTGTATTACAGATGCCTGGTGATTTCCTGGCTACTGAGATATTTTGAATGTTGAAATTTTCTTTCTAACAATGAATGGTTCACAATCATCATCCTTGGCTGGAATTTCTAATACTTCTTGTGGTGGAGAAAAAGGCTTCAATGTATTCTTTTCTGTCATCTTCATGACTGCTGGGATTTTATCTAACAGCCTTGCAATAGCAATTCTCATGAAAGCATATACGAGGTTTAGGCAGAAATCAAAAGCATTGTTTTTGTTTTTTGCCAGTAGCTTGGTTATCACAGACATGTTGGGCCATCTCATTGTTGGAACTATTGCAGTATTTGTATATGCAAATGATAAAAAATGGGAACAATTTGATCCATCAGAGATATTTTGCAATTTTTTTGGTAATTGCATGGTGTTTTTTGGACTTTATCCTCTTTTTCTGGGCAGTGTGATGGCTGTGGAACGCTGCATTGGAGTGACAAAACCAATATTTCATTCAACAAAAGTGACTTTTAACCATGTAAAAATGATATTAACTATGGTGTGTCTTTTTGCTATCTTCATAGCCTTGCTGCCCATACTGACGTCAAAGTATACAATTCAAGCATCAAGAACCTGGTGCTTCTATCGAACATGGGGTATTGAAAATTGGGAAGATAGATTTTACCTCTTACTTTTTTCATGTTTGGGTTTGCTGGCCCTTGTTATTTCCCTTTTGTGCAACGCCGTGACAGGAATTACACTTATAAGAGTCAAATTTAAGAGTCAACATAGACAGGGCAGATCTCATCATTTTGAAATGATCATTCAACTCTTGGGTATAATGTTTGTCTCTTGCATTTGCTGGACTCCTTTCCTGGTAAGATTTTAACCATTCAACCACTTCCATTATCATGTTATATATTGCTTATCTTGTTCTGGGATAGTATCTTAAGATCTTGGGTTGAGTATAATGATACATTTTCAAGATGAGGGTGGATGCTGACTAATATGCCAAGCTTTCACAGGATGGTTTAATGGAAGTTATGATTTCTTTTGTTTTTCTTTTTTATCTTGACAACCAATTCCTTAGATAATGGGACTTAGGGTGTCACAGAGAAGAGTGTGGATGCAAACCGTGAACTGCATCACAACTTTGCTTTAAAGGGCTGTTCCATTTGAAGCTGTAATGAAATAATGTGACCCTTCAAAGATACAGCAATAAGAAGGGACCTCCAACATTTCTTGAAACAGTTGGAAAGTTTTTTTTTCCTATCAAAGCAAAACCAAAATTCAAGTGGCTATTTTGTGTTTTGACTGTAAATCCACCCATATTATAAGTTTGCACTTACCACTAAAGTGTTTATTACATGGCTTCTTCCCCAATATTTATATAAGATGAACTAGGGCTAGGGCTACAGAGTAAAATACTGGGAATGGTTGCAACAACTGAGTGTGTCTAGTGCAAAGGTGTCAAACTCAAGGCCCGGGGCTGGATCCAGTCCTTGGGGTGCTTAGATCTGGCCCATGGGGCTGCCCTGGAAACAGCAAAGAACTGCCTACAGCAAAAATGGCAGAGGGTTGCAGGAGGTCATCGCATCCAAAAATGGAACTCGGGGGCCTGTTTTCTCTGGCAGAGCGCTCGGGCCACCACAGGCACCTCCACCATGAGTGATACCCAACTGGCCATGCCCACCCTGGCTACACCTACTCTGTTCCCCCAAGGTCAAACACAACCCTAGTGTGGTCCTCAATGAAATCGAGTTTGACACCCCTGGTCTAGTGTAATAAAGGAAAAGGACTGGAGTCACATGGTATCAGTCTACCAGTCACAAAGAAAACAGGGGCCAATCCATTCTCAAGGCATCTGAGGGCAAGACAAGAGGTTAAAGGTGAAAATTTACAAAGAGAGAACCAATGTAGAACTAAGAAGAAATTTCCTGACAATTAGTGAAACGATTGTCTTCAGAAGTTGTGGGTGCAGCATCACTGGAGGTTTTTAAGAAGAGTTTGGACAGCCATTTGTCCAGAATGATATAAGGTTACTTGCTCAAGTAGGAGGTTGGAGTAGCAGACCTCCAAGATCCTTTCCAACTCTGTTATTTGTTATTTATGGTTAACAAATTGTAAAATATGTAGCAGACATTCAGTCTAGTCTTCTGTGAAGAAAGTATTTTATTAGCTTGATTCAAATACCCCAGCAAACTACTGTATGTTTAAAATGGTTCAAACCCACACATTGTGCTAATCATAATTTCTTTTATTTGGATCTGGCTTAGCATGATCTAAGAAGCATATAAGGTTCATTCAACAAATCATGGGTAGACGTAACCATGACTGCATGACCTTCAACCCTAATGAACTGCTTGGCAAGCCCAAGCCCAAGCCCACTGTTTTTATTATAAATTTGTTGCTTTTTTGTACTTGGTTACAGAATTATAAAAGCCTAAAAACTGCAAAAGCAAAAAATGCACAGGAAGCACATTTAAAGTCATCCTTTGTTAACTGTGTATGTTTGGAATCAATTCACCCAATGAGTCTCTAACCATGGATTGGCATAATATTTGGCCATTATTTTCTTAAATATTGAAGGGCTGTAATTTAGCAGCATTATACATGAAGAAAGTTCCAAATTCAATATTCTGCACCGTTAGAGACAACTGAGGAAGATTATTTTCTGAAATCCTGGATAAACATTACCAATCATTAGGCTGAATACCATGGAGAATAGTTTGACCTGGAGCATGGCAGGAGCTCTGTGCGTATACACAAACACACATAGGGAGATGATTGGCAAAGAAGTATGAAATATAAATAAATATTTTTAAAAAGTAAATATAATGACTATTTTCAAATTCCATGAAATATGTGATAAAATTTAATTTTAATTCAGATGTATAAATGATTCTCCTTCTCATTTACTATTTAACACTGCAGTGTTTTCTGATTACAGACTATAGTTTCATCAGCTAAATTTTGTTTTTTTCTATTTATTCCAAGAGGAATCACATGCTTTTCCTGAATAAGTATGATATGGAATATTTAAAGACATTTTGGATTGGTGCTTGATACAAATTAGGCATACAGTTTAATGTTACTTACATAAGTTATGGAAAAACATCTGGTATTTGGGAATCATTAGGAAATTGGGATTGTAGAAGTTATTATCATAAATTGCACACCGTTGTTTATTTTAATTAAAGTAAAAATAATCTAGCACTGTTTTACATTATTGGAGAATAATGCACTATATGTTGACATTCAGTGTTTAAATATTAAGCCATAAGGTGCATTAGAAATTCAATACCACTGAATCAATGAGGACTGGATAATAATAAAAATCCTCTAAGTCAGCAGTAACTTTTTTTTATCATCATGTGGATGAGGGTACATCATAAACAGTGTCTTTAAAGAATGTTCAGCAAGAAAAGGGTGATGAAAAGAAGCAATATGTTTGTGCTTAGAAGAATTTGCCTGATAGCACCAAGTGGAAAGAATGTCCTGTTAAACTTTTTACAAGTCTATCCACATAACATTATTATGATATGAATTAACTGGAAGGAGCAACCATATCCAGCATATATGGAAATAAGCAAGTTGGTTGATTAAAGAGAACATAAAGGATTTTATTGTTCAGTATTTCATGATAATCTTAAACTTCTTAAATCATCACACTACAGTTCTTTAATCATTCTTATTGAGGCTAATGAGAGTTCAGCCCAGGTCATAATGAGAGAAATGCAAACGTCACAATTATAATAGAAGTTTCACTTATAATAGAATTAACTAATAAATTAAGAAATTATATCTGCTTTATAAAAACAGTTTTCTTTGGAAACCAGTTAATATTGTCTAAGGCAGAAATATGCAGTTTTATAGAATAAGGTATTAGTACCCACCGTTTTAATCTTTGAGCTTGAAATGACTAACTGGAAAAATAATTGAGTATTTCCATGCTAGGTTTAAAAATCAAGTTTTAATACTGAGTACATTATTATCGTGATTGATTTAGGATCCTTTTCTGTTACCAGTACCTAGTTATGAGCAAACCCTCTCTATAATTCTTTTATAATGAACAAATTATTAACTGTTTCTATATGTAGATACATTATTTGGTCATAATCCAATAGCGGTCTGCAAGTACAGCAGTACCATAATGCATTGGACCTCTTAAATTCAAAAGGCCTAGCCCACTTAATAGAAAGTAGAGTACTTTATATGGGAAAAAGTACTGAACATAATTATCCTGTAATTGGAGGAAAATGACCTGGGCAAAGAGTTCTATTTGTAGATGGACTTATCTGATTTCTCAGTACTTAGAATGCTTGGTTTACGATCTGTTATCCTGATGTTTTCTTATGGATTTCATAAAACATAATCTGCTTTCATATTTAAGGTTTCATTATATCTTTCTGGCATTATTTTAAAAATAATCCTGTTTTTTTTAACAATAGCATTATTTCATTCTTCATTTTACAATTTCTCCCCCCCCCATCCCACAAATATGTTAAACCAAGCTTGCTTTACAGTTAGTTTTCTGAGTTATCCTTTATGCAACTGAAGCCTTATTGAAAATTTCTCTTCCTTTAAAAACTTGAATAGAAAATGTAATCTGTGGAAAAAACACAGTTCCCATTAGATGTTTTCTTACTTTGTTACTTGCAGCAACTCAAGAGCACTTATAGAGAATCACATTTCATTCAGACAGGAAGAGATAATAATGCGAAAGTCTTTGTGCATCTGTGGGGAAAAAAAAGAAAGTATCTGAAGAAACATCTTCAAGGCAGCTCTTCTGTAAACTTAAGAAAAAAGGAAAGGAAAAATATTAATTTGATATTTTTAAAAAGTCCTAAAAGTAGTCACCACTATTCTTATTTCTTTAGCTGTCTGCCTCAGTTTAATATTTCCCAAAAGAACCTCATTAGGTGATTTCAAAAGAAAAGTGAATTTTTCTTTCAGGAAGACAACTTTTTCCTGTCAATACTCCGCAGGATCTGACACTTTCTTCTTAATATTTTTAAAGATTACTATCATTGATGTACCCTTATTACTTTTTCACACTTTATTTGCTTTACATCTTGTTAGAAAAAGAAAGCTTGTCGATTATCAATTCCACTGGAAGATTTTAAATACTGAATTTAATATTGTAAATATTAAATAAGACCAACTATTTTCTTTAATCATGTATGGAACACATCTTCTAATAAATAGATAATTCTTTAATAATTTTTGCTAATGCATAAATATTGCTTCTGAATTAGTATTGGGCTTTTTGTAACCTTTCAGGCTCATCTGGTATCATGTAACTTGTAATACTTTTCTTCCTATGAACTGGCAGTAATTATTTCTGCCATTTTTCATTCTGTCTCTCATTTTGATCATAGTTAAGTTAATAAGCTTATGTGAGTAGTTTTCTAAAATGTCTTACAGGTTAATTACTTTGGTGGATTTAGTGAAACTATATAATGCAGTCCTCCTGAAACTAAATCTCTCTCTTTTGAATGTCAAAAAAACAAACAAAAAAGTTTGGGGAGAACATGGCTGTGTATTTGCTTCTGAAATATATGCATTTAAAGTGCTTGTTGCTAAGAGCAAAGCCTTATTCATATAATAGTCAGTGATTTTTCTCCACTACACAAAGGGGAAATTACTTCCATTAATTTATTGAAAGTTATCATATTCTTAGATGTGAAGTCTTTTTTCCCCTCATTTGGATGGTATAGAGCAGGAGTCCCTAACCCTTGGTCCATGGACTGGGCCCAGCCCATGGCAAGCCAGCAATTGGTCAATGAAAACAAGGGAAGTCCCATCTGCAGGATGCAGGCAGCATGTAAAAACATGGCGTCTCTGGTCTGCGGGAAAATCTTTCTCCACTGGTATAGAGATGCTGAGCCATTTGTGAACACTGGATTCTGTATGTTTGTAAGGGTTATCTATTGCTGCTATTTGTACAGATACTAGCAGAGATTGTAAATTGTAATTGTATAATACAATTGCATTGTAAATTTTATATAAGAATGTGCATATAAAGATAATTTGTCCACCCACATAATTTTTAATGAGAATAATGAAAATCACTGATTTGCTTATGTCCTTAATAGTTATTATTGCTGTTGTTTTTTTTAAAAAATAGGCAAATTAAAGGGAATTATATTCACTATAATTTTCATTGTATACAGTTGTATATAATTTACAATCCCATGACAGTTTCCTTTAAAAATGTTACTCTGTCTCACAATAACAGACTTATTGATATTAATACACTACAATATTTTTAAAGAGTATGGCTCAAAATCAGTGGCACAATAAAACTTAAAGAACAGTCTCTCACTTCTAATCTCTTTTTCCCCAAATCAATAGCATAAAACATGATGAAATTAAGAAATTATAATATATCCCCTTATGAGCAACTCTTTGATGATCTGCAGTGCTATCTGCAATGGTGGGGTGACTTGGTGAGAACTTCTGCCTTATTCTCCCTCCTATTTCTATGTTTCTCTTCCAAAAAGCAAGGTGCTTTTGCACGTTGACTTCTGCCCTATGTTCTTTCTAGTCAAACAATAACCAGTTGGATCAACAAAAAGCTAAGGTGTCAAGAAAAAGAAGAATAGGAAAAAGGATGGAGGCCTACCTGCTAGTCCTATTGTTGATGGTCCCTTATTAACTAGTTGTAGGATCAAGGCCACCAGCAGCTATTCTATCACTATGAAAATGATGAAACTGGCAGCCATACTGAGAAGATCTCAGTCTGGGTGTATTCCAGGATACACCCATGAATTCAGATGCCTAGATTTTAATGTTTAAAGCTATATAGTTAAAATTTGCCTGTCACTTGTTCTTGTTGCTTTGGATAGCAGATATCACCTGTGACATGTGGCTTAATTACATCCTATTTGGATGAATTAATGTGTTTTATAGTGGGATGTAGAACTTCAGAATTCTGTGGTAAAGTGGGTTAGAGTTGGCATCTCTATTATATAGTATTTCAGTATACTCTTTTTTTGTTTGATCTTCTTTGAAACTGATACCATGTGTCCATTGTTATTCTTTACCTCAAGGGTCTTCAAACTTAGCAAATTTAAGATTTATGGACTTCAACTCCAAGAATTTATTTACTTATTTTATTTATTTATTTATTTATTTTATTTGTCACTTGCTTACAAGATAATAGGTATAAGTAAAAACATAGTTATGAATACATGGATACATATAAGAAAAATAAAAAGAATAAATAAAAGAAACAATAGGACAGGGACGGTAGGCACGTAGGTGTGCCTATGCACGCCCCCTACAGACCTCTTAGGAAAGGGGTGAGGTCAATAGTAGACAGTCTAAGGTTAAAGTTTTTGGGGTTTGGGGAAAAAAAACCACAGAGTCAGGTAGAGTATTCCATACCTTGACCACTCTGTTGCTGAAGTCGTATTTCCTACAATCAAGGTTGGTGCGATTAACCTTGAATTTGTATCTATTGTTTGCTCTAGTGTTGTTATGGTTGAAGCTGAAGTATTCATTGACAGGTAGGACATTGCAATGAATGATTTTATATACCATACTTAGATTGGACTGAAGGCGGCGTAGTTCTAGGTTTTCTAGGTCTAGAATTTTGAGTCTGGTGGCATAAGGTATTCTGCAACGAGTAGAGGAGTGTAGAACTCTTCTTGTGAAATATTTCTGGACTTTCTCAACTGTGTTAATATCAGATACCTAATGTGGGTTCCTGACTGATGAGCTGTATTGGTCTAGCAAATGTTTTGTATGCTCTAGTTATTAGTGTAATATTACCAGAGAAAAAGCTACATAAGATTAGGTTAACAACTCTTAACGCCTTTTTGGCTATGTAGTTACAGTGGGCTCTAGCACTTAGGTAATTTGAGATGAGTACTCCAAGATCCTTGACAGACTTTGGATCATAAACAAGGTCTTGACTTTTCAGCCTGTATGTTATTTTCTGTTTTTTTTTGCCAGTATGTAAGACAGAGCATTTATTTCTTGAGATTTGAAGTTGCCATTTGTTTGATCATTCTGATACATAGTCAAGGTCTTTTTGAAGGGTAGCAGTATTGTCTGTGGTTTCCTGATCTAACATGACTGGAGGAGGAATTCTGGGAGTTGAAGTCCACAAGTCTTAAAGCTGTCAAGTTTGAAGACTCCTGCTTTACCACATCCATTTGAGGTTGGATACTCCTTCTATCTTGAGGATCCTTTGGAAAAATGTCTTTGTTTTTTTATGCCTATTTCAATCTTCAGTATCTGTAGAGATGTTGTAATATTGCTTGTGTCTTCCAGCAGTTGTCTGAATTAAGACAGCTGATTTTATAGATAACTTATTATGAAGTAAAATAGTAATAGTAATAATTATAGGAACATGATTCACTATGTAAACAACACTATACTATATTAACTTTTTTCCATCTGATACTAGTTTCTAAGCTATATTATCTCTTTTCAAAAAGAGATTTTGACTCTTTATGATATCAACTTTAATTTTTAATGAATTGATTTTTAATCCATGATGGTTCAAATCTAGAACCAGTTTATAAAAATATCTAAAGTGATTCCAGTGTTCAGTAACTTCTATTTTACTGTTAAACCAGATTACATGTATCATTGTTAAAAATAGTAATATATTTTAACCTGATTTTTTTCTGATGAATAATAGAACTTATTTCATTTTGTAGGTAATCATGGCCATTATTGGAATAAATGGAAATATCTCCCATAAAACAGTACCCTGTGAAACTATAATTTTTGCTCTTCGAATGGCAACGTGGAATCAAATATTGGATCCATGGGTATATATTCTTTTAAGAAAAGCTGTTCTTAAAAAATTGTATGAGATTACTAGGAGATTTTGTGGAGTACGTCTCATTAATTTGTCTACATGGGAACTCAGTTCCATTAAAAATTCTTTAAAAGTGGCATCAATTTCCGATTCACCAATTAGTTCCAAGATGACAAACCAACAACTCAGTACAAGAGTACCATAAAGTGAAGCACAGAAAATGATGGAAGTAAAGGTTTATGATAGTTGTGCACATTGAAACATGAGAAGTGGCTTCAATTATAGATATGTTTCCATCTGGAATTGCTACTACAAGATATTTGCCTTATGAATATAAAGAATCCTTTTTATTGGACATGCCCAGCCACATCTAGTGCCAAATACAGGTAGTTCTGGACTTACTACAGCTTGTTTAGTGACTGTTCAAGTTACAACGGCATTGAAAAATGTGATTTATGACCATTTTTCATAGCAATAGCACTTAGACTTTACAGCCCATTCTAAGCAGTTTACAGAGTCAGCATAATGCTCCCAACAAGCTGGGTCCTCATTTTACTGACCTCAGAAGGGTGGAAGACTGAGTCAACCTTGAGCCTAGAGAGATTTGAATCGCTGAACAGCAGTCAGCAGAAGTAGCCTACAGTATTGCATTCTAACCACTGCGCCACCACAGCTCATAGTTATAACAGCATCCACATAATCGTGATCAAGATTTGCAGCATCCACATAATCGTGATCAAGATTCAGATGCTTGACAAGTGGATCATATTTATGACCTTTGCTGTGTCCTAGGGTTACGTGATCCCTTTTGTGAAATCTGACAAGGAAAGTCAAAGTCTTAACAACAGAAATTTTGGGCTCCACTTGGTCGTAAGTCAAGGACCACGTGTATTTCAGAAATTTCTAAAACAAAAAAAGGGAGGCGATATTATTCTACTTAAAATTATTAAATAAAAATGTTTAAAAACTTTAATAAAAATAAGATGTTAGTGGCTGTGAAATAATGTTGAATGAAGTAAAGATTTAAATGTTTGGAGTTTATGTTAAAATGAAACTTAAAAACATGTTATCAAATGTAAAAGCTTAACAGCACTATTAAAATAGATTGTTCTTGAAAATGGCTCTGTTAGATTTGATGACATATGTGGCAGAATTTAGAGACTAGTGTGTTCAAACATCATATCTCTTGAAATGTTATATTTTCTGAGCAATTCAGTTGGGAGTAGAATGAAACCAGGGCAACCATGAAAACTAGATATAAGATATCAAAATCTTAGTGTTGAATTTTACAATGGATGTGCAATGAAATTATGTAAAAATTATTAATTTTGAAAATGTTCCTTGTCTTGCTAGTATAAAGCTTTTGCTGTTGTTGCAAATATTTTATCTAAATCTTATAAAACATAAAGAATATTACTTCCTGAATGAAATAGCCCTGCATTTTGGATTTTCTGAGCAATATAAAAACAAATGTATATAAATTGGTTTAAGACAATAAATCAGTTGTATAATCTGAAAATTCTACCCTACAATTTTAATGTTTACTAAATAATTGGATGCCATATAATTATACAGTTACTTCTAAAGTATTGTGAGTGTTTTACACTATACACATGTATGCATAGAAAAGTCAATTCACATGTATGCATAGAAAAGTTGTGTATATAGTATTATATGTCAAATATTAATTTAGGTTTAATTTTACTGTTATATTATTTCATACTGTACTTTGCAAGCTCAACTTATTAATCGATACATAAAAGTAAAAAAGTGTTGGTTGTACTGAAAGTAGATTCAGGCAACATTAATGTGAGGATTACATCATTCTTGGTTTGAGTTAAATAAAAGAACGCATTGCATTTAGTTTAAATCATAATATTTCATGTTAAATGTAAAAGGCATTAAATATTCACAATAAACTGAATTTTCAATACACAAAAGATTAAATGGAACCTTTTTATACAGATTAATAAAATAAAATTAACAGTTTATTAACTTGATTTACACATGTATAAATACAGACTCTTCATAGAACTTATATATGTTCTCTCCAGGGATGGGCTGCTATCGGTTTGTCCTGCTTTGGATGAACCGGTACTGAACTGGTAGCTAACTTTATGGCTAGTTCGGTGACCTGGCAAATCCCATCCCTGGCTGGACCCCTCACCCCATCCCAGGAGTCCCTAAGTGGCCTGTTTTGGATCTCAGGTAAGTACAGGCCCTGAGTGGAGCCTGGGGAAGGCGAAAAATGGGCCTCCTAGAAATTCCAGAAGTTCCAGCAGAGAGTCTCTGGAGCCTGGGGAGGCTGTTTTCACCCTCCCAGAGGCTTCAGGAAAGCCTCCGGAGCCCGGGGAGGTGAAAACACCCCCCCCCCACCGTGGTGCAGGAGGCCGACTAGGCGATGTTCACCATGGCTATGGCCACCCAGCAACCAGGCACAGAACCAGTTGCTAAAATTTTTGAAGCCCACCCCTCTTCTCCCTCTCTTTCTCTCTTAGACCTTAGCTGTAAATTGTTAGAAGTTAGCATAATTTCATTGTTTATATGAAGAGCTCAAATCTGACTTGATCCAAGAAGCCCTCTAATCTTTAACATATGTTCCTCTAACAGATTGATGCTATCATTATACAATACAACTGAGTCCCTTCCTCTTGATCAAATATCGTTTGATGTTTGAAACTATGTTATATCCAATATACCAGAACATGAGAATATTTCTATTTGTCCAATGGTACAGTACTCCCCCTGTACAGTATTTAGCCCATACATCCTGCAAGTCTCTTCTGGGTGCTCTCCAATTTTCTGGAGTAGTTTTGGGAAGAGGGAGAGAGATGGTTCCAGAGGAATCAGTTCTTTTATGGATTTTATTCCTTCACTATAATAATTCCTTTGGACGAAACCTGCCTAGTGTTTCTGAATGGTGAGATTAGTCTCAATGACTATGATTGATGCTCAACAATAATGTTGTGGAAATCTTCACAAAGGAAAAGAGCAAATGATATTTAAATTTGTGAGCTTGGAGATGGGGTGTCAAGTGAATAAATCTGTATTCAATTTTATGTATTTTTTTTTTCATTCTGGTTGTATTGTTTTCATTCTGTCTGTATATTTCTATTTATAAATTGTATAAACTGCAGAGTGAATGTATGATGTAGTGCCTTGTTAAATGTATTATAATGTGCCTTTATTGTTACGATGTGCTTAGAAGAGCAAGGGAGAATTGCAAATGCTGAAAAAAAGGTCATACTGTAAAAGTCACAGAAATATTATAAATACCGGGAATATTATTGATGACTGTGGTTTCAGTATTTAAAGGTGACTTTGTTAACTGTTTGTGGTTACAAATAAAGCTATTTAATATTTGCTCCTTTTGCTGTTTTGTCCTTGGGAACATAGAACAAAAAGGTCTTAACAGTATTACGTTCCACCAGACTTAGGTAGAACATTTGATCATCTGAATTTCTTTTTCTGTACCTTCCTCATTCAACTGGACAACTTTTAGAATTTCCGAAGAACTTGCATGTCCAGGACACAGACCGAAATGTTTTCAGAGTTCAGACTGGATTTTATATTAAGAAGTACTATTTTATATACTCTACTCTTTAAACAAATAATATCTTCTGCGTTATAAATGAATATATTAGAGAAAAAGATTCTAGCGTAGCCTTGATTTTCTGGTATTCCATGTGAGGGGTAGATTTTAGATACAGCACTAAACTTGGCTGAATGTTGCCCACTAACCCTTTTAAAGGTAATAAGAGGCTCTTGATATTTATTTGCTCTTTACTCACTTTCACTTAATAGATTACATCTAACACATCTATTGTTATCTCATAATTGCGGCCTTAGTTAACCAGATCATGGAATACCTGTCTATTTTGAATTAATAATCCTTTATGTATGAACTCTGAGAAATCCTGGAGATTTGAATTGTGTCCTTATCTTCAGAGAGGAAAAACAAAGATCCAACGAATTACAAATTAAAGGGGAACCACACGAATCAATCCTGGAATTTTTAGTCTTCAGGTTTTTTTTAACCAGTGTTGCAAAGAGAATGCTTACAAAATTGGTGATGATAAAAAATGGATGCAATAACCGTAGAAGTCAAAAATAAAATTAAAATTAAATCTTAATAAATCAGGAATTTTTCACTTAGGAAACAAATTGATACACAACTACAAAATACCAAATATCTGGTTTGGTGATAGTTTTGAAAAGGGTAGTAATCAGTTGCAAACTAACTTGAGCCACCAATTCAATGTAGCTATAGACAGACATAAATTCAATTTAAAAAATCAATAGAAATATAATTTCTAAATTACGGAAAGTCATCGTTTTTCCATTACGTTTTGATCAAACCTAAATGTCCAGTTTAGAGTCGATTTTTGCGCGAAACATTTTTAGAGACATTTAAAGATAAACAGGTTTAGAAAGGAAAATTTCAATCTAATTTAAGGTATGGTAAGTTAAATGAAATGGATTACATAAAACCAAAAGATTATCTCCCCCTTGTTTTTAATAATTTTCTTTTATGTTTTAAAAAAATAATTGATTGGAAACTGTTAAGAGATTCCTTGAGGGCCACATGGAGCGTGCAAAGTGACCTAGTATTATGCATGGTCTCTAGGTCAGATTCCAATTCTCTCTTAAGTGATGTGTTTGTTTGGATCCAAGCAAAGATGGGTCCTCACATAATGCTGGGAAAGGAGTATGTGCAATATTTCAGCAAGAATTTATACTTTATTTGATTAGATAAGCAAGGAAGCACAACCTAATTAGAAAGGAAACACATATCTGTGGAACAAAAATTATTAAAATATCACTTACTCTTAATTAGTGAACATAAGCAATGCTACGTCCAACACATCTTCACACACTCAGGCGTCTGTTTCCCAATTAACACAATTAAACACAGGAACTTTTATTAAGATTGCTTATGATAGCCTGACTAACACTAAAACCTCAGGTTTGGATATTTTAGATTTATGATGAAATGCAGCAGGATTGTTCACTCTGGTATCCAAGTACTTAGTTATGAATAACTTACAATGTTTTCCCTGGTTTCTATCTGTTACCTCAAACACATTTCAGCCACTGAGCATTCCTTCTTTTTCACCAGAATTTTTCTATAAATATATTAGAATTTCATGGCATTAATGTTATTCAGCATGATGCCAAAATTTATATTGTGATATTATAGTGCAACTTTGCCCTTTGCCCCTTGCCTCATCACACCGAACAGAGATTTATAGGAGGTAGAATTTGTGTCACAATGAATGGTGTAATTATTGTTCACCTTTCTTCCCTTCTGAGACCTCAGAATCCAGGCATACCATCTAATATTTCTGTGTGGATATCCTAATTTGGTCACACAACAATTATCATTTGGA